CAGGGACTTCAGGCCAAGTTCGTAGCCCCACACGGAGTCCCGGTCGATCAGACGGAAGAAACAGGAGATGTTCTGAGAGCCATAGCCAGACCGGAGCTCAGCCCGCTCATTGAAAGGGATGGCCATTTCGGTGTAGCGGCGAGTGAAGGTGCTTGGGTCAGGGAGGTGGGCTCGGGTTCTGAATTGCCAGGGCAAGTAGTTGGTCTCGCCTGCATCCAACTTGAAGGAGGAAATGGCATATTTGTGGCGTAGAGAGCGAAGCTGTGCCGTGAACCAGTTGCGAGCTTCTGGATTGGTAAAATCTAGGATTCCACCGATGCCATTCCACCACTTAACCAAGGCAGGAAGTTGGCCTGTCGGCTCCATCACGAACAGGCCTTTCTGTACACATGGCCCAAAATTAGCCGAATCATAATTCACAAAGGGATGTGTCCACAGGGATACTAGGATGCCATCTGCCTTGAGCTTTTGAAACATGGCAGAAGCATTTGGGAACTTGTGTGTGTCAAACTCAAACTCCCCATATTGACTGGTGTAACGATCATCAAGTTCTAAGTGGCTACAGTTAAAACCATATTTGCGTATGTTCTCTGCATAAGTTAAAAACTTTTCCTGTGTGATGTTAGTCTTGTGTAAAGCCCAGGTCGACCATATTGGGTGCCGGAACATTTCTTTGGCGGGAACTTTGTTAGGTTTGGGGAAGTATCGGCGAACCATCACCTTGTGGATGGAGGTCACATCTGGCCCCACGCAGACTCTATAACTGAGTTCAGCATACGGAGGTCTTCCAGGTGCAGGTTTGTACGGACTGTCCTGATATCGTGCCTGGAAGTACATGCTTTTTTCTGTATCATTCCAGCCCAGGTGGAAAGGCACAGAGTCATTGATCTTAATGGCAGTTGCATTGGATGAGAGCCAGTAGCGTTCCAGGATGCCACCAAAGTCATGACGATTGGAGTACACGTCACTGGTGACAAAAGGTTTGGGCGCCTGCTGACCCGAGATGGCAATAGGCCAATGCTGAACAGCAGTCTCAGCACCACCATACCAGTATGATTCATTGTAGGACATGGCATGTTCCACTGGTCGATCCGACTCCAACTCTTCCCAACGCACACGGTAACACACCACTGTCTCCTTTGGCTTCACCGTCATAATGAAGAAGTTCACCTTGCCAGCAAATGAACGCGAGCAGCGAAGGATCACATCCTCCTTCGAGCAGGAGTCGAGATCAAGTGTACCAGACCTGAAATCAGAAAGCATAAATCAGTTTCTTTTAGGTTTATATTTGTCACATTATTTAGAAAAAGAGCTTTTAGGTGGAAAAATGGATACTGAATTTAGTTCTGCATTCAGACAATGTTATTACTTTTTACTTGACAGAACATGTTTTGTTTGTTTTGAGTCATTAAATTACATTTAAACACTTTTCAAACCCATATGGATCCACCAGGAATGCCGTGTCAACTTGTATTTTTGAGACTTAATGGACACTCTTTTACAACCCACACCAGTTGAGAACCACTGTGCTACAACATTTCTTTCTGTGAAGATTTTTCTATGGTATCAGAATAATATAAGCACCATGCATACTGACCTGAAGCCCATCTTCAAGACAATCCCCCCAGCCTGGTTGCGGATGAGAAAGCCATCTTTATTGAGGTCAAGCAATTCTGTCTTCAGTAGGTCAGCTTTACGTAGAGAGGCAATATAGTAACACCATGCAGTCACTGCTGCAATCACCAGAACCACACCAATAACTCCAGCCCCTACCAGAGGGCGACTGTCCTTGTTCAACTTCTTGATGGGCACGCCATCCGTGATCGTTCCTCCTGCACCTCCTGGGACTACTTGGTACATTCTGAGTCTTAGTTTTTTGAATTCACAGTTAAAAAGTTGTATAGATGAAGTTTATTTGATAACCTCAAGGCTAAAATTTTATATGCACTAATATAGATATCATTTGGTAGCCTTATGTGAGAAACTGAAGCGGAGAGAATCAAAATGGATATCTTGCTAAATATGTGCAAAATGGAGTCTTGCATCCATTTTTTCTTGTAGAATTTTCCTTTTGTTCATTATCCTTTATGAGCCTGAGGGGAAAGGAGTGGCAAAGAGTGTCAGTGGTTGAAACAAAGTCCAAACAGAAATCTACTTGTCATGCAGATGTCGGAATCACAGTACAAATTCAAGCATTAAGTATTCAGAAAACACTATAGTAGTTTTAGCTTTGATATCACCCTGAATTGGTCTACTGGGAGGTAAAGGCATACAAAAGCAGTTTATTCATGCTGCCAAGGTTTCTCGCTGTGGCAGTGTGTGATTTGACTGCACCAGAGGACAACACAAGGGCCTCCGGGTCTGCAGTATGCAACGCCACACCTGCAGAATTTTGAGACTGGCTAAGTGCCACCAGAAACACTTGGTTCAAATGAAAAGAACAGTTAACGGACAATGTTTTCTACTGAAGAAAGACCTAGAAGAGCTGAACTGCTAATTCAGATCTCGCATTCTGTTTTTGAGGGATATGTACAGCGCACTGATAAGGCGCAATAGTGGCTGCACACTTTTTCAGTGGCCTTCATTCTAAAAGCGTCTCATTTTGTCAATAGCCATTACATTTTAATTAAATCATTGATATGAATCAGAACAATGCAACATTTAGAAAATAAAAAGGTTGTTGTTGTAATCATGGAATTATACAACACTTCTCCCATGAAGCACTGTGAATGATGTAGCCAAATCAAATCACAAATAATGGTAATATTGAGTTATTCTCTATAAATTATTGATAATAAATATAATGTATTATATAGGCTTTAGTTGTGTGAGGGTGTACGGAGACTGAATCAATGTTGTTTCAATGATTTATGGAAGTGGGCTGTCACTTTTGAGCTTTTTGCTACGAAAATTTCCATGGTAAGATTAACTTTAGGCACCATCCGATTGGCAGATCGCAGGAAATAGTGTCAGATCTTTTCTTCCATATGTGACGTACATCTGATTACCAAAAAAGAAAAAAAAATGTCAGACAGGGACTTGGTACTTTGTATCGGTTGTTGATTGGATTTTAGTATGTGGGCATTGCAATAAAAAGTCAGTGGAGGCAGATGAACGTGTGCTTGCAAGTGCATGGGTTAAGCGGTCTAAAAGATTTGAAGTCCTGCATAAGTCACCAGAAAGAAGTTGCAGAGAACTGCACCAAAAAGCAGTTAAAGCATTTTGATTAGGGGTGTAACAGTGTTTTGGCAGGGATGAAATTGGAAGATGTGAGTAAAAAACTTTGCCTAACAACATCAAAAACAATATCAACACTAATAAAATATAATTTTAAATATTCTCTAAATAAAAGAATCATATGATTTTATAGAATTATAATCATGGTAGGTTGTCTTACAAAGTGTACACAACGTTGTTGTAAATCTAATTATTTTTGGAGAAAATTGTTTCTTGATTTTTGCTTCTAGAATGGTCTGTTCTGCTCTGTTGTGTTCAGAACTGCTGATAATGCACATCTTGTTTGGTAACAAGAGGCATGTGATTCACTGACAACAGTCACTTCAGTTCCCTAAATGAAAGAAGATTTTGCAAAAGATCTTGCTTGACTAAAGAAGAAACAGTGAATATTTGGCAACAAATAGATTAAATGTAGCCTAATGGTTAAACACCACAGAATTATACAGTGTTGCAGAAGTCTATCTTGACAAAGTAAACATTGGAGGGAAGAAGCAATAATTGTGTAGTCTCACACAGTACTCAAATAAACAACATTTTTCTTATTCAGGACACGCGGCTTTAAAAAATGGGTTCTTCGATCTCTTTGCACCCTTAATTTATCCAAATAGAGACTCAAAAAGGGCTCCACGTACATGGACATATAAATAGGTCAGAGAGTTGCATCAAGTTGATAGCTAGCACACAGATTTACATGGGTCAAAGTGTAACAAGTTCTAAGACGTGTAGTAGCCACTACAATAACATTGAAATACGTCTAAAACTCCTTAAATGGTCACATTAATATAAGAAAACGGCAATAACAACAAAAAAAGTATTAACTAAACAGTTCGGTATTTTCACATAAGGGTAACAACTACACGTGAAACAACAAGACAGCCAGTGGTCGATTTATCAGGCAAAGAGGTGTCGACTGTAAAATATACGCAGGACCTAAATCGTCGGGTGACAGGACGAATTTGCTATTTAAATGCCTAAACATTTTATAGTTACATGAGATAGCATATTACTTACCAGCTTGAGTACCGTTGGGTTCGTGTGTTGTTGTTACCTCTCTCGAACGATTCAAGACGCTGAACTCCGTGTCTTGTTATGGGAGGAGTTTATTTGGCGACTCGCTGTTCACAAACTCTGCAACTCTGGGAAATTGAGTTTTACTCAGCGAGAGAGAAAGTGTGAATATTGGTAGTTTGCTTTTGTATGGCTGTTAGACGCTGAACATAGAAGATATTGTGGGGGAAAAAATCACAATTTGTGAGTGTTTTTTTTTATTTATTTGTTTACCATATAAAACAACGCCTAACTGTTTTCTGTCAATCTACAAAATGTACAAAACAAATCCCGCCAAATTGCAGTTATAACCGCGACTTTAAAATTGAAAACACCGCTTTATTTTAATATGTGGATCATCTTTTGATGTGCACATAGGGTGTAAAACATGTTGCAAAACAAAATAGTTTTCTACCACTCTACCACTTAACCTTGCTAATGCCCAGAGTCACAACGAAATTCTCTGTGACACTATATCCAATTTGCGGCATATAAAAGCAAAATTCAGACAAACATTAAAATGACAAAGTACAACACATTTCAGTTAATTAGGTTAATCCAATTATATGTCTGCTAAATGATTAAAGTTCAAGCCTGAATTGTCGAATTTAAATTGTGCTATGCAAACTATGGTTGGTTACCGTGGTTATGTTTGTAAAAGGCAAAAATAACACACTTAATAGGCACATCATAAACATTGTTTATTTGTCATGGTAATGCACAACATCCAAAAATAGCCTACATTTTACAGTCATTTGAATGTTGAAAGCACCCAAGCATATTTACCATGCAGCCAGGATCTCCAAACACGTAATGTACCTCAATAATACCCTGTAAAATAACATTATCAAACTGACATTTAACGAAGAGAGAGGGAAAAAAATGCACAAACGCAGGCTTTTAGTAGTGCTTTGCTTCGGAAACAAACTCTGGGTGGATGATGTAGTGTCCAACTTTATATGGCTTCACCACATGGAAACAGCTGTGTCCTTCACTGCAAACCAAAACATCTAGATTTCAGAAGGATAATCTCAGACATTCAAATGCATTGACGACTGAGCCATGTTTATGCTGAAACACATTTGCAGCTTAGCAGAATGAAAGATTACAATTTCCAAGAATACATAGAATTATATGTCTGACAGATCAGTATATCAGATCAGTGTGTGTAGGTAATAAACAATGTGTCAGCTATACAAACAATTGGGAATAAAATACCTGCAATCAGCAGTGGACTTTGAGCGTGATCTTCTGTAATGATGTGTAACCTGGTGTTTGAAGGGTTTTAAAGATGGCATGATGTCCATCTGTTGGTTCCAAGCTGATCTGATACGATCTGTGTCTGAATATTTCCTGAATACAAAAAAAGAAATGATCCTAAGCCGTGTGCAAGATATTAAGATAACTTATTTGAGGACAAAATCATAGCATGATCTGTTCGAAAATTGATAATAGGCTATAGAATTTGGAGAAAAACACAGATCAGATATATGCATTGGATTGCATTTTACTTTTAAAGACTCACTGTTGTGACACAGGGTACATCTTATTTATTCAGATGCATAAAGTAAAGTTATGAAATAGCATTTAAGTTAAACTAAGACTATTTTTGTAATGCCCATGCATATCAAATATAATTGCAAAAGTTTTACCCTTGTGTGTTTGTGATTGTTGCATGAGCAAAGTTAGTTTGTTGTGGTTTGAGAAGCCAGGCAGCAGGTGGCAGTGTACAAACTGCAGAGGAGACCTCAGGTGGTTTGGAGTCTCCTTGCGATGAGCTCTGCATCGTCTGTTGATGTCCTGTCTGCTCGTCTGGAGGGCAATAATAGTTTTTCAGTTATAATATATAGAAATATATCTTATATATTAGTCTGAAGCTGGTGCTGTGCAACTTATATACTACACTGATTTGCTCAACCTCAACTGACACAGATTGCTTTGTATACCTGGATACTGGATAGATATGTGTCTGACCGGAGGTAGAAAAGAGGTTGAAGGAGCCGCCAACTGAAAGTGTTTCCTTGAGCCATATCCTGTCTGCAGCGTTCTTGGCATCAGGAAGTCCTGGGTGGCAAAGGGATTCAGAAAGAAACCCTAAGTGGCACTTAATAGCCTGTAACACTGATCCTCGAGAGGTTAGATTGTTTTGCTAACATAGTGAGAGTCGATCCCAATCTCTGATCCCTGTTCAGTGGTTTGGAAACAGTGTAATCGGAGCTATACAAAGGCCCCCCACATGTAGGTTGTTTTGCAGAATCAAGTGGCTACAATGTTCCCAGGCCTGGTGAATTATTGATGATTTGTCAGGTCAGTTAATTGAAAAATGTTGGCTGTTGTTGTTTACAGCACATTTCTTACCCCAATACTGCATTTTAACCCAATTGTTTTGCTCATACAGCAGGAACTGTCATTCACACATCAGCAATCAAATAATGCAAATCAAGAGAATTCAAACAAACACAACACAGAATCCACACAATATTCAAGTAAATAATTAATGTAGCACACCAGTGCTTGATTCTCATTTTTCTTGTGGTTAAAAGAACGAGGTGTAAATCCTCATCACACGTATCTGATATGTCTAACCCCTAAAATCTGAATTTAAAGATTTATAACTTATAATCTGATTAAAAATGTATATATATCATTTTAATGCAGACATTAAACTGATCGAAAGTGACAGTAAAGACATTTATGATGCTGTCAAAGATATATTTTTTTTATTTTAAATGAATGATGTTCTTTTAAACTTTTATTTATCATGAAAATTAAAAGGTATTACAGTTTCTACAAAAATATTCAAATAGCATATCACTCTCAGAAAAAGAAGTACAAAAGCCGTCACTGGGTTGTACTTTTCAAAAGGTAACGTTACAATTTTGTACCTAAAGGGTGCATATTGGTTCCTTAATGGAACATATTAGCACTTAAAATGTACATAATAAATAGCACCTAAATGTCCATATTAGCACCTAAAAAGTACATATTAGCACCTAAATGTCTATATTAGCACCTAAAATGTCCATATTAGCACCTAAATGTCCATATTAGCACCTAAAATGTAGATACTAGTACCTAAAATGGACAAAAGTTTATCTTTTGAAAAGGTACAGCCCCAGTGACAGCTTTTGTACCTTTTTTCTGAGAGTGTACAACTATATTAGAAGAATCACGTGACACTGAAGACTGGAAACATAGTTGCTGAAAATTCAGCTTTATCATCACAGAAATACATTACATTTTTAAATATATTAAAATAGTGAACTTTTAAATTGTAATAATATTTCTCAAAATTACTGTTTTTACTGCATTTTTGATCAGATCAAAATGCATCAATGGTGAGCAAAAGTCACTTCTTTCAAAAACATAAAAAGTTTTTTTTTTCCTGAATTTGGCAAATAAAAAAAAACCAATTAAATGTTTTAAAATGAGACCGTAGAAGAAATGTTCATTTATGCTGGCGATTATGCTATGATTGTCCAATAAGCTCTTACCGGCCGTGGGTGAGGATTGTTCCTGCGACATGCAGAGGACGGCCTGGGCCGGGTGGGTTTGACCCGAGCTGGGTAACTGAACTCCTCTGAGTAGGTGCTGCAGAAGTGTAGCTGAGGACCCATTTCCTCTGTGTACAGTAAGAGTGTGTCTGCAGCTCTTCCACTGCTGTCAACCAGACCTCACCCCCTCCCTCTCTTCAGCACTTCTGCTCTTGTGCGGCCCTGCATCTCTTCCTGTACCCTAAATAATTTCATCTTTCCATGAATAAGTTGCCACAAAAGAGAACATTTTGTCATTGTTTACTTGTTTGAAACTACATACAATTGAGTTAACAAAATGTATCACTCTGCCCATTTTCTATCTACACATTTTGGATGTCACTGGATTATTTTGAGATTAAACTAAAGGTTACAATCACATTGGAAATTGATGTCATTCTGGTATTCTGGCCCGGTTCTGTATTGGGTCCACTGAAGAGAGAAAAAGAGAGCTGGCAATTGGATAATCTGCATTGGCATCCGTCTGTCATCAGGATTGAGCTGCCCTTGTTTTCATTTCCCCCTCGGCCAGTGATCAATAATTCAAGCCTTAGATCCGGTGTGTCTTTTGTGGCCCCTGTTCAGCGGGGCCAGGCTGAGAGTTAAACAGGTGAGGAGAGATCTGTTTATCGGATTGGACAAATGCATGAAATAGAGCTGGAAAGGATAGGGGCAGAGAGATACTTTTAGTACTGATTATAATAATAAAAAGAACTAAAAATGTTGATTCTACTTTTTTTAAAGAAATCTACAGGATTGTATAATGTATTTAGCATTTCATACATTATTTTGCTAAATTTAAAATTTAAAATAGCTGTTTTCTATTTCAAAATATTTAAAAGCTGTATTTTCAGCATCATTACTCCAGTCTTCAGTGTCATCCTTCAGAAATCAGTCTAATAAACTGATTTGATGCTCAAGAAAGATTGTTTTGAAAAATTAGTTTGAATCAGAATTTATTGAATATATTTTGTCACATTTTAAATGTATTTACTGTCACTTTTGATCAATTTAAAAGCATCTGTGCTGAATAGAAGTATTCATTTGTTGATCTTTGACTTCTCTTAAGAATTTGAACATTAGTAAATTAATACCACTAAGCCATAACATCAGAATGCTAATGTTTTGACATTAGAGTCCACATTAGAAAATAGCTCTATGATACATTAAAGCAATCTGTTCATGTCATTTTAGCTACAGTATTGTGGATGACAGTAATTAATGTGTAATCCTATATGGATGAAAGGAGTTCTTCATTCATAAGAGATAATCAAGACAGTCATCATTTAACAGAGCAAAACTGGCACTTATCCACAGACCCTGTCAGCACCTCCTTGTCTGTGCCAACACAAGTAAATCAAATATGTCTTTCAGCGACATATTATGCAAGGACAGCTTTCAGGTTACTCAGATAACAAAACGTTCCATTCAAAATTATTGACACAAAATGGGTTTGAAGGGAGGATTCGGTCCAGGTCTACTTTTTAAATAATCACTCAAATGGAGAACCTAATTATATGTGTTTATCATTAAGCTCAAACTTACTTTTTGTTGTTTGTTTAACAAAACACAGTAATATTTTTCTTGTTTGTGATCTTCTCTCTCTTTTATATATGTGTTCAGAGGCCATAATTCCACTACATGTAGGGGACCACATTCAACAGATCCGCTCTTACTTGGCGTCAGGTTCCTTTATTAAAGTGACTCATGATTTATCCATGAGTTCCGTTCTACTCCCGACGTATCACATTTGCATGGGGTAATCGTCTAATTTAGTCTAAAGTGTAATCAAACAGTACAGTTCCAGAAAGAGTCCAGAAAGAGAACATTTTCTAAAAGAGTGGAGTGATCTTTAATTTAAAAAAAGAAGAAGAAAGAAAACAGATAGAATCCTGGCAAGGGAATTATTAAACACATGGTAGCCTCTTTAAATTCAAGTTTTCAGTCCTCACAGGAATACATTGGCCATGCTGTAGACTTCTCTGCACTGGTTCTTTGATGTGTCTAGTCCAGTTTATTGATGCTTGGCTTTCATGGTTGCTTTCAGTTTTGTGTAGATGTTCCCTAAATTCTGCAAACAAAAAGCAATGATCAAAACAAATTAAGGAAACCTCTGGGATTACAGATTGAGATTACTGATAGATATTCAATTCTAGCCAATAAAGGTATAATATTGACCTCAGGTCTCTAGTTTGGTATACATTACCCACGGCTCACCTGGATTGCGTAATATACTATTCCAAGGTATCCAGCTATACAGCCACCCAAAAACAGGTCGAAGGCAGCCGGCTTCACCCTAAAAAAAAAAAACAATTATAAAAAAAAAATCAAGAATCGGTGTTAAAAAGAAAACCGACTGAAACCATTTTTCGCTTACTAAAATTAAAACAACTGTTATTAAAATTTTTTCAAAATAACTCCAAACCTTATTAAATTAAAGAAAAAATTACCATGAATTAGTTTTAGTTAACTGACTAGAGGCACACAGAGAAGGAAATGAATAGTTGAAATAAAGTCGTTATTTTGTTTGATTTTGCGCTCAAAATTTATTCTCGTCGCTGGGTAAACTTAAGATTGAGCCACTGTAGTCACTTGGACTATTTTAACGATGTCTTTAATAACTTTTCGGGGCTGGTAAGTTTCGATCCCTTAGAAGCCTAATGGAGGAGTGATCCAGCTCTCAGATTTCATCAAATATCTTAATTTGTGTTCCGAAGATGAACGAAGGTCTTACTGGGTTGGAACAACATGAGGGTGAGTAACTACTGACAGAATTTTCATTTTTGGGTGAACTATCCAATCACAAGACCAATCACAACCAACCAATCACAAGACTTACTCACCTGTACATCATCATCGGTTGGCTCATTTGATCAAAGAACGTGATTTCAGGATCCCTATTAAAGTCAGACAAAACAATCTTACTATGTCTGTATCTACTAGTGTGTGTGTGTGAGGGTGTGTGAGCTGTAGTTTTTCTTTTTGCAGAAAGTGTGTCAGTAAACATTGTTTGAACTTTTTTGCTACTGGCAAGATAAAAAGATGAATTCTGGCTCTGTGAGTGTATGCGTATTTGCAACTCCAGGAAAATATGCATCTGTAAACCTGCTGCAGAAATCTTTTGAAGTGTTGCTTCAGGCCATTGCTGAGGTGAAACGTTGTGTCTGTGTGTACCTTCTGTCCAGATGGAACGTGTGTCTATGGACCTGCTTTAGATAGTGTTTTAACTCCTGCTCCAGGCTGCTGATCAGGAGCTGTTGTCCTGGTTCTCTGTCCAGCAACTGAACGGCTCGAGGAACAGACGTCATCATGCTCATCAATGCAGACAAATGGCTGTCTTGAATATCCTACATAGCACATAAAGGTTACTTGATGAACTTCAATTTTGGAACAAACGCTGAAAATTCAGCTTTGCCTTCACAGGAACGAATTTCACTTTAAAAATACGTCAAAATAGCAAACCGTTATATTAAATTGGAATAATATTGACAATTTTCACTGTATTTTGATCTTATAAATGCAGCTTTGGTGAGCATAAGAGACTCGTTTCAGACTTCCAAATGGTAGTGTTTCGAAATTGTAACACAATACAGTTTTTTTGTTAGTTTTAGCTGGATTAAGCCCGATAAAATAAAAAAAAATATTACCAAACTGCCCTTGAAAACCTGTATGTCCTTAGCAGAGCCCTACAGCACATAAAAGATGAAATATATTAATGAAAAGCAGAAACAAAGACAAAGATGAGCAGAAACAAAGACAAAGATGGTCTGTGTGTGCTTTCAAGGTTGCCGTGATGATTTAAATTTGGCGAGACCCTCCAAACGTTTGCCTCACCTTGTCTGAAAGATTGTACACGAATCTTGCCAAGGACTCAGCGACTATAACGGCGTTCCGCTTGAGCTTCCTGATGTCCACCTGTGCCCTAAATATACAAGAAAAACTGTGAGATGAGAAATGGTGCATCAGTCATTTTAAAATGCAGTCTGAAATGTCTACTTTAACAGAGTTGCATTTCATGTAGTCCAAAACAATTGGATAGGAAACTTGATTTACACTGGTCTCAAGGACAAAAAATTATTTAAAGGTCCCGAAAGAGATTGTTTTAGTGGAATGGTACAGGAAAATATTAATCCAACCTGACAGACGTCACTGACAAAAAGTGACTGCATGCTGCACTCAGCCAATCAGAAGACTTTGAGGCTCTTTCCACCTGTCAATTATTTTGCACATTCAAAAGGCAGCCAAAATATGGGAAGCAGGAGGCTGACTGGTAGTTGAAGTGAATCGATCAGGTTTACTACATATTCAGCTTCATAAGTTTTTAGTTTTTTGTGCAAGAAGCTGTGGGTTTCTTTGTAGGGTGGTTTTTGAAAATAGTCTGGCAGACGTTCCAGAATGGGATTTGTTTACAGAACTTTAACTTTGAAAAAATTTGGTCGATTTTTCTCACATGGTGTCCAGGATAGATCCTCTCAGCTCTGATTTAGGGTTCTCAATATGCGACAGAGTGAATCCTGGGATATGTTTCATCCCATAGCGCTCATGCTCCCATGCCACGTTGGTCTCCTGTAGGTTGATCTTCTTATGGACTGTTCCAAATCTCACCCAGGGGAACCTGGCAGAGATTATCTGTAAACACAGATGTACAAGAAGGTCAATAGCCAATCACCAAAGTTTTTTTTTCATTGAACATAGACTGACTTCCACTTCAAGCATAATTCAACTTAACCTGGTCTAGCTGCTGAATGAAGCTGTACTGAGGCGTTCCAGGCTTAGGTGGCCGTGAAACGTGTAGGAAAAGCTCATCTCCGCTGCCAAGAGAGTCCAGACATATAACGAATGCCACATTGTCATGCAAAAGGCTGGATTCTACATAATCATAAAAAAATGAATGCCGTCAAGATTTTGTATTTCTTCTGTTTAAATGTCAATAAATCAGTGAACAGTTCTTAAAAATATATATATATTTTCATAATGTGAAGAGCATTTTATATAATCTAAAAAAACATTTTCTACTATAAAGATATTTTTGTAAACTAAAGTTTCCATGGATGTTAAAGGTTCTTCATAAAACTATTTTTAAAGGGATAGTTCACTTTGAAATGAATTTTTGATATGTTTTAGCTTACCTCAAGGGCATCCAAGATGTAAGTGTCTTTGTTTCCACAGTATT